ATTTTTCCTGTAAAACTGCAAAACTTGTGCATTTCACTCGTTTTCATAAAAAAGTTTTCCTAAGTATGATTTAGCATTTGCGATCAACAAGATGTTGGTTCTGAATACGACCCTGGCCAATTCTTAGGATTTTCAATATCACGTGCGTAGGGCATGTCAATGTTTACATCCACTCTATCTTGTATTTGAATTTGCTTCAGTATTATATGGGAATCAAATCATAGAAAATCAACAATACAAAATAATGAACTTTTTTCTCTTTGTTCTTTATTATACTTCAGCTAATTATCTACTGATTTAGCGTTACTTTTTTTCAAAATTCGAAGGGTTATAAACGCAATAAACGGCAAGAAGTATTGAGTCGTTCACTAAATCTTTCGAAGAAACACCATTGTAGTCATTGGAACATATACGAATCGGCATATTCACCATTATGTGTAGTATGTCTTCCTTCGCCATTTTTTATAGTGCGAATTGGTGAATTCGCTGTTCTGGTTTTCAGTTTGTACTCTTTTGCGTCTTTTGGAAACAGTAGATAGAGCGAATATAATTTTTGTCCACTATCTATTGAGGACGAGTTATTCGATGAGAAAAAATATAGCTAGAGAGTAAGCGACATTAAGGTTCAATGTATCCAACTTCAAATTCAAGAAAAACATTGATGATTATTGTGTAGATTATAATTCAGTTGAAATATCATTGAAATAAAAACCACTAGTGAAGGATTCTTTCAAAAATAGTACGTATTTTTCAATCACTCGATTCTTTGAATGAAAAAAAACGGATGTGTCAAACACTCAGTTATTTCTCGGAATAATTTTCCGAAAATGTATTTCCCAAAATTATTCTTTCATTTATATTATTGGGTTCAAAAAAGTTAACTTTGGCATGAAATATTCTACTAATTTTTTTATAAAATANTCCGTTTGGGTAGAGATGACTCCTCTTTTTTGACCAGGATGGTGGTTTGATAGTGTGTGCAGGTAGTTATCCGTGTGATTCCGTACACTTTGTGGATTAGTCTAGCACAACATCTTTCGATGAGTACATCTAGGTATGCTATCTTCTACTCCAGTTCAGTCTCCATGGTGAACTTGATGCTGGGGTATTGAGCGTTCAAATGGTCTAGGAAAACGTTCAGAGGGCCCCTTCCATATTTCCAGATGACGAAGGTGTAATCCACCTAATGTAGCCACAAGGTCGGTTTTAACAGAAAGGCGTCAATTGCTTCCTCTTCTAAAAGTTCCATGAAGAAGTTGGCTATCACTGGAGTTGCTCATAGAAGTTGCTCCTTCGATGAGAAGGACGTGAGATATGCTCTGAGAAAACAAGTAGGCTAGCTCCTTCAGAAAGTCTTCCATTGGGGCGTCGGTAAACACACACACAACATCGACGCTGACCAGAATATCTGTCGAAACTTGTAGTCTGAAGTGAATGGAAAAACGTGAATTTGACGTGATTCAATATTAATAGGAAAGAAGTTATTTCGAGAAGTTTTTTTCTTCTACAGTTTGTTTCTGGAAGAAACTTCTGTGTATGCTCTTCATATTTTCATAGAGTTTTTGTTGTAGTTGTTTTCCTCGTTCCTTTAATTTTTTGGGAATCTGGCGATGACCAGGAAAAACCTACGCTCGACAGTAGGATATCTGACTGGCCACTGTCAACTAAGGAAACACCTCCATATTATGAGGCTAGTGGATACACCTCTATGCAGGATGTATGAACAGGAAGATGAAACTGACAGGCATGTCTTATGCGAGTGTCCGGAGTTATCGTCAATGAGAGAATGTGTGTTTGGCGAGTCTTAACCAACTCCTGCCGATATAAAGGAGATGTCTCCTTCATTTCGCCAGGTGTAGGTAGATCAATCAATCAAATACGTTTATTATATCTTTCGGTTTGTTACATATTTTTATGCATATTTACACTGTATGGTGCCCTGCTTTAGTCTCGTGCCTCTTCAGAGGCTGTGTTGTTTTGTGTGTTTACTTTTACATAAAGATTAGGTTATTGGGTTACTGTTTGTGTATTTCAGTTCAAGTTTGTAGTGTCCTGTGTTGTCCATGGGTCTTCTTTCTTTCGTGTGTTGGTCTTCTTGGTGGCTTGTCGGGTGTCGTCTCTGGTTCTGGTGTTCTTGATCGGGTCTTCCTCGGTTGTGGTCTGATCTTCATCTGATTGCCAGCGGGAACTCGTTTAGGACGTCTTGAAACCTTCCCAGTATATATCCAGGGCTCCCAGTAGTCTGGCTGGGGGAAATGGGAGTTTCTTCCATGGGATCCTCCACGCGCCCCCGCGGGATCTCCAGGGTATGGTCATTGTTTCTTTGGCTGCGGTGTTGTTGCTTCTTATGGTTCTGTCGGTATATTTTCCTCGGAGTTCCTGGAATCTAATGTTTATTGGGGTTAGTTTTATTGTTTGGTATAGTTCATTGGAAAGGAATCGGTAGGGGAGGTTGTGTATGCTTTGGAGTATTCTCCTTTCAGTGGCTTGTAGTCGGTTTGTCAGTCGAGTTGGTATTGTGCAGTAAATCATGGTCTTATAGTCCATGATCGGTCGTATGTATGTTTTATATGTGTGCATTAGTGTTTGACTGTTGCATCTCCCAAGTTTTCCCCTCAAGGCTTTCAGGAGGTTTGCTCTTTTCCTGACTCTNATCAACCTTATAGTAGATTGACAGTATCAAAGAATCACCCCATGTGCTGTGGGGTTAAGCTATATAATAAGCTTAGTGAGGATATTGAATCCTCAAATATCAATGTCTTCAAAAGGCGACTCAAATTTTTCTATTGCAAAAAACATACTACTCTGTGGATGAGTTTCTCCTTGAATCCTAATTTAATTGTAACTTATTCACTTTTTTTGTATGTAGTTTTTATGTTTTATATTGACTTTTTTAAGTTTGTTTGACCTGTTAAATCGGCCAGTATTTCAAGATGATTTTATGTTTTTCTTGTCTAATGTGACTATGAAGGAAAACTGACTCAATAAATGTTTGATGGATTGATTGATCGTGCAAGCTGAGGACTAACGAGGTCTTACCTTTTAAAGTGTGATTCCTAACACGGGTTGGACGATAGCAAATGAAAATGGATCGTTCAGCCTACGGCTTGAACCACCGACCAACACTGCGGTCAATTTGAGTTAGTGAATGAAGCACCCACGTCGAACCGACCCACTACTCCATAATTGCTGAATTTTGATAAATGGCGTCAACGGTGATCTAGATTTGCATGAAAGGGTGATAACTGATGACGAATCATAGGTATATGGATATGACATGTTTCCTTCGATAACCGTGGCGTAGTGCATCAGAAGTTGTTATCACGTGGTTGTACTGTCATGTGGTCATGCTCTGCTTGCGGGAATCAATACGAAGAAAAAGTTGGGTATTGTGAAAAAATTATTCATGTTTTTTCCATCACGATGATACACCTGCTCACTCTTCATTTCTTGTTCGAAATTTTTTGGTCAGCCACCGTATTCACCAGATTTGGCCCCTGCAACTCTTTTCTGTTTCATGAAAATAACTGTTTCGAGGATTGAAGAAAACACAGGCACATGTGTATTATATTTGTGAGAAACTACGTTGGAGGACACAAAAAGGAATTATACTTGAACAAAATATTATACTCACAAACAACATTTTGGGATATTCTTATACATCATTGAATTTGACACTTTTTTTTATGAATTTCCAATTGTCATAAAGATTTCACACATATTTCCACTCCACCAAAAAGAACAAATATATACTTGATAATCATCTCAAAATTATTACTTGCTTGTGATTTTATTCTAAAAGATGATAAACTACAAATCGATGGAATCAACTATGTAGCATTCCTTGAAACACATTTATACGTTTTTGATCCATATACATTGACTGAATTCAATTCCTCACTCATCTAGATGAAGCCGTTTTGTTGTATTGAGACAATTCTCAAATATACAGTTTCTCTGAGATATATGAAAGTACCTCAAAGTTCTGTAGGTGGACCCTTCATTTTTAATTTATTTATGAATGATTTTCACACTATTCGACTACTAAAAAATGAGTTATTGGGTCTCTTCGAGCTTTGGAACAGGAAAAAGTCGCAGGGGACCAAATCTGGTGAATACGGTGGCTGATGCATGATTACGGTATTGTTTTTTGCCGATAAATAACGAACGAGCAATGACGAGTAAGTAAAAGCCATGAATTATTTTTTCATGATATAGAACGTTTTCTTCGTATTACTTTTCGCAAGCGGCGCATACCTTCAAGATAATACTCGTCATGCATGATTTTTAGTTCTGGTCGTACTTTTGGATCGGTTTTTTCTTGGTTTGGCCGATATACAATTTGTTGCAGTCCGAGCATTGTATGCTGTCCACTTCGTTTAGGTTTTTATCTTCTTTTTTTTATAATTGTTAATTTTTTCTGTTATTTTCGTGTTCGGATTGTGAGTGATGTTGATGTTCATACACATTTCTAAAAACAAGGAATCTAGAGACACTCCATCACAAAGGATATTACCTGATGTAACCCAAATACAGGCAAATTTAAAGAGACATACGGATGGCAGGAAAGGACAAATACCTGAACTAAGATTCTAATCGTATAAAAGAACAAATAAGAAGATAAAACTTTCAATTTGAGAAGAGCCTTGAAGATCATAGCACAGCCTGCTATGGAAAGCGCTCGCATATAATAATTAGAAGTTATTTCAAATGCTTTTTGTGAACAAATGT